AGTACCGAGGTGATACAGATTAAATTCATAAAAAGCAAGTATTAGAATCCTCAATCAGATGTAGAAATTTGAAATGTATCTAATAACCTTTAGTTTAGGAGTTCTTCTGCATCTGTTGGGGCCTCCAGCCCCTCAGCATCCCTAAAACACTGATCCTGTCCAAGTGTCCAGTTCTCAATACAGAATTTAGAGCATATCTATTGCCTCAACATGGCTCTCAATTTAGCAACTGCTGAGCCGGCAGCTAGAAGCTGCTCGTCTGGAGTAGAGGATGAGATTCTGACACTACAGGCTGACATTCAGCTGAAGTCCAGGGCTCATGGACAGTTTTGGAACTTACTCACAGAGGAAAAGTACCCAAAAAGCTACCTACTTGACTGCATTATTCGGCTCTACTTATTTATGTGAGTCAGCCTTTTTCCACATGAAGAACATTAAGTCCAAATACGGATGGACACTGTAGTTTATGTTAAGTAACCAGAAATTCCCACATAAGCACCAAATGTGTATTATTACGCGACATAAGTCCCCAAAAAATGTGCCTTGTGAAACGAGTCGTTAAAATATGAAATTTAAGCAAATAGTTCAGCATGGAGACATTCCAGTTATAACTAAATAATGAATTACTTTTTATTTGGATTTAAATGTAGCTGTATCTTTGATGGGAACTCCTTACCTGTAATTATTAATTTGTGGTTTTCTAAAAAAATTCCGATAAGGTGAACTGCAGACCTGTAAAATGAGGCATTACCTAAAATAATATTTTGAAAGAGGATAATGAGTACTTTAACTTATGACAGTATGGGCATTTGCTGATGATACTTTATTAACACTCTGAATGAAGCATTCTTTAATTGTAATTGAGTAATTTTGCTTTGTGGTATTGGGTCTACTGTGGGCTCTAGGTTTTCATCCTCCCTGGCCTGAACGTCAATGGATGGAGATTCAACAAGGGGTGTTGGAGAAGCGGGAACAGCAGCGGGGTTTGGTTCTCTCGTTGGTTCAGAGTCAATCTCCAAGCAGGAATTATCATTTACATCATCCCTGGTCTGAACTTGGAGAAACTGGTGGAGGTGCCACCACAGCAGAGTGTGTCTCTGAACTGGGTGTTAGCGGCTCCTCAGTTACAGCCAGGTTTAAATCTTCCTGGAGTGTTTGCTGGAGGTTCAGCAGCGGGTGTCAGATGAGCCGGTACTTTGGGGCTCTGGGGCTGAAACATCCCACAAATCTGTCCCACTGCTACATCAACTCAGCAGCACTGGTGTGAAGCTCTTGCTCCTTTGCTTCTTTGTTTGGATAGACAGGACCATGTCATCCCTGATGGATAGGGAGAAGGTGGCATGACGCTTCACACTGGTGAGGGCTTCGGAGACTTGGCCACTGTAACCCCAACAGACAGGGAGCCTCCTGCGCCTTCTTTCTCAGGACCTTGGCGTCGTCTTCTGCCATGCTGAGGACTTTAGGATGTCTGTAGGTTACAATCATTAAATTAGTTTTTAAAACCCTTCAGGATATCACAGAGATGTTAAAAGCACTGTCATTTAACTGTTAATACATAAGCGTCAAATACAACTCACTGAAAATTAGGAGGTGAGGCCTCTGGGGAGTTGAGGAGCAATTTGGCTTCAAACTCAACGTCCCTCATTTTATTGCTGACATTTACTGCCCACAACTGAAACAAGGGATTATATATGAGGTTCAGTTTAGACATATTTAGAGGACAAAATAGTGTAACAATTCACTCAAAACTATTCATAGTTTCTTCTCAGGGTCCTTGTCTTACCAGCATCAGCAGAGGCTTGGTGTCCTCCTCATCAAAATCCTCCAGATCAAACTCCCAAAGGCTTCAAAAAGAAACAAAACAATTGGATTTTCACTGTTACTCTCTACATTATCAGAGTAATATTAGTGTGACATGAGCATAGTTCAAGGTGTACTGATGGACCGTCTGTCTCATCAACTCACCATTCTCTCAGACTGTTTTTATTGACGTCATCTTTCCTACAATAAGTGTCATGTGGCTGGAACGTTAGAGTCAATGTGCTGGACAAGAAACATGTGACTAGACGCAGGAAATGTCAGTGAAGAACATAACTCCACTCAGAGACTATGTTCACATTTATCTCATTTCTCTGTGTAGTCATCCACACTTACAGCTTCATCAGTGTCTATGCCAACAGTCTCTGTTCGGTCAGTATCAGACTGATTGTCCTCAAGACATCTTTTTTAACACATCCATTTCTTTAGGGGGTGTTTTGTTCATCCTGAACATCAGAATCTGTGTGTCTTGTGATGTCACTTTTGTAACTATCAGGTCACTGACTGGGCGTGTGGTAGTCAGTGTCAAAGTCTTTCCCATCTGTTTGAGTGTGGTGAGTTTGTAAAGTGTCAGTGGACCTGCTGGAGTCTGAGATCTGCTCCTTGGCTGTATCAAAGGACTCGGTGAAAATACTGCCACTGTACGACCGACGATGGTTTCTGTCTCAGACAACAACAAGAGGGCCATCTGCATCAAGATTATTGTGATTATCTCCAACATTTATGTCTGTACATCCTGTCTCTGTGAGTTATATCAGTTCTTGGAAGCAAGTTATCTTCACACTTTTAATTTTCAGGTGAAGTGAAAATGCAGTTTGTCTTTAGCAAGCTTTCCATACGCTCCATATCAGCACCAGAGTCCTCGTCCTTCTTTTGCCCCGGCTCCGTGTCTGCATCCTTCATGTCCTCCTCTCCAACAGCAGCGCCTTCCTCTCCAGAGAGAACTCTCTTCAGACTCTGGGCTCTGTCTCTGTATTCTCGGCACAGCTGAGCATCGGGCATGTGGTTGCCGTGGATCTCGGCCAGCTTCATGTACACCACATACAGAGCCTCGGGGTTAGCTTGGTCCTCCAGGGCCGCTGCCAGAGCCAAATGGAAGTTGCCCACTGTGTCAAAAGAATCCTGGGGAGATTGCAGAGAGCAGAGGTCTCCTTTTAATGAATTCATTATTTGTAGGCTGGATTTTGATTGGTGCTATATTCTGTGAAAACGATACCATATAAAGGTAAAGGCAACTGTTGCTCTGCCAAAATCTAAACCCTCTTCTTTTAAGACACTGACTGGCTACACTTTCACTTGAAGCCAGAGGAACTCTAGGTTCTAAAATGTTGTGTCAGTGTGTTATTATTGTGAAAAAACAATTCATCAGTTTTTGACAGGTAAATTCACGATTTCCTCAAATAATAAAACAAATAAATAAAAAAGTGTACATGTGTGTTGTGCAAATGTATCAATTCATTCACTGTTTTTTCGCATGTCATTCTACACCAAGTCGTTACAATGAATCGGCCGCAGTTAGGTTCAGGCAATAAAGCCACTTAGTTATGGTCAGGAAAAACATTACCATTGGGCTGAAAATAAGTATAAACAAGTTAACATCAGTACGAAACACGCGTCACAATCATCACTTACGTAGCTCAAAATTACTCTGAATGATGTTTATTTATAATAATTTATATAATATTTATTAGTCATATTTATTTCAGAAACATACTGTATATATTCCTTTTGGTCATGCAAATGCAAACACAGAAATATAGTCGGCTCGTGTACCTTCAGTTTGTGTGGAGTGAGATTGCCCAGTCAGCAGTACTCCTTGGTGTAGTTGGGAGCCTCCATGGGGTCCTAGAAAGGGATGATGAGGCACAGATTCTTGGCCACGCTTGACCTCTGTCTACCTGCTTTGCCGCTGATCTAAACAGGCAGTGTTGCGTACTGCAGAGCCTCCTCCTGCTCTCCCTGGTTCATTAACAGCTCTGTCAGTTTACTCAACAAACAGAACTCTGAATGGATGTCCTGGATGCTCCGTGCAAATGGCAGACTGCCATCCTGCAACCAAACACAGAGAATTTCCGTAAAATAAGATCAGCTGTTCTACTGATTTAATGTTCGCTTTGAAAAAATGCATCTCTGGTGCTTTGGACTAAGACGCAAGTGGGGGAAACGAAACTTGCACCCCGAAGCAAAATGAAAGTGGACGAGAGCAGGCGGCAGCAGCAGGGGGCGGTGACAAAAGACTGTGGTCAAGTCGGACAGTTTTCAGCTGCCTTCAAAGAATATACAGGAAGTTAAAGAAACAGCTACTAAGGGTACTTCTCAAGTCTCTTAGGCCAAATCCCAATGTCCCCCCTTACGGACTCATGGACTTTGAGACGCGCTCCCGCGAAGTCCGTGAGGGTTTAGGGCTGTCCCACTGTCAAATCATCAAGTGTTTGAGGGCTCTCTTGCAGACATTTTGAGCCCTTTATGAACCCTTTCCGTAAGTCAGCATTATATGCTGACTTAGCCTAAGGGAATTACCCACAAATCATTGCAATGTGACGTTAAACACGGGGTAACCAGTGGACACATATGTAAAAAAAAAAGGTAAACAAAGAGGATGGATCACTGTGTTCAGCCTGGAGTATTACATTTACTCAGAAACATTAAGGGTTAAAAATGGAACAAAAAATAAACATGAAATCAGAAGATATTTATCAATTTATTCATCAAGCATTGTGATTTTGTCATTGAAGCTGTTTTGACAAAAACGACTAAAAAGATGATATGAAGTTACCTCTCATCTAGTGAGGAAAGAGCCTGAAGACGTTCAAATTAGGGAGTACAAAGTATAAAATAAATACACACAGTTATACATCATATTTCTTGTCGTTTTCATGGTAACGTGATATGTTGCAACAAAGTGCTGTCCCATTCATATTTACACCATTACAAGCCCTCATAGTCTCTCACACTCACCCACTTACCAGGTGACGTCACTAAGTCCTTAAGGGTTCAGGGTTTGAGGGTTTAGGGCGGACATTGGGATTTGGCCTTACTAAACAGTTCGACTGCAGCCATGGTCGAGTTCCAGAAGGTGGCAGCAATATGCAACGTATGGATACCGGCTGCTGTAAAACCACCAAAGAAGAAGAAGTAGAAATGAAAGAAGCAGCAGCAACAGCAATATTAATGGTGGAAATGAGTTATGAAGAGGATTATTTTGTCTAACTGGCGCAGTACTGCCTTAGTTTTCTTCGGATGTTTTATTGTTTTCTTCGTTTGGAATTTAAATGGTAAAACAGCCAAAAATACCCTCCAAGTTACGTATGGCAATCTAGCAAACTATGAGCTAACACTACGCTGCCTTCTCCGTCTCACGGTAGCATTACTCGTCTCTGTCTTTTAGCGATTTACGACACGTTTTATTTTGTAGAGAGGATGTCTGACCGGACGCTGGAGTATTTCTTAAATCCGAGTCAAGTGAAGAAATGCCACGCAGCCGAGGTGAGATGGTCGCACGCTGTCAACAGCAGGAGCAGGCTGACGGAGGCGCTCTCGGGTGGGTCTGCAGCGCGTTCACCACGACACCACAGCGGGCCAGTGGCTCCATATTCTGTTGACTGTTTATTCAAAAATTGAAATATACTCTGCACATAATGGCAGCGAAGTTGTGCCACCCATAGCAATGTTTATTTGTAGTATTAATGGTAATTAAAGCTGCAAGCAGCATTGATCGTATGGAGCCAAATCCAGGACAATAGTTATCATTTGAAAAACAATGTGAACCTTGTGGTTCAAGTTGTGGTCTTGAACATTGAAAAATACAGCAATGTATTCAAAATAGAAATAAGTGAATGAAAAGTTTTTTTCATTGCACCACGGGGTTTGCTGTCGGTTTGTGTGGAACTCATTTGATGTTGATCTGATTTACCTACTAAGAGAAACGAGCCAAAGTATAGAGACTTTAACTTCCTGTTACCAGTAGGTGGCGCTATAACTATTACACATAATTGTGCTTCAGATGTCTTCAGGGTGTCTTCATTTTGATTTTGTGTTGACCCAGCCGTTGTCCTCAGCTCATCACTGACTATCTTGACCACTGACTTTCACCCTTAGGTCCCACTCATATGATTGAAGCTGATGTAATAATCAGAGGTCGTGACCCCAAAGAGCCAATCATGGCACATCCCCCTGACACCGACAGTGACATCACACTGAAAGAGTGGCTGGAAGGAGTGAAGGATCACAACAAGGGAATAAAACTAGATTTCAAGAGGTGAGACGCATCTTATATCCGTTAAATGCAACATGTAGTTGTGTGTTATGCCAACACTGTGGCGTACTCTCCACAGCCTGGAGGCGGTGTCTCCATCTGTCGCTTTGCTGGAGGAGGTGTATCAGCCAGACCGTCCTGTGTGGATCAATGCAGATATCCTCTCTGGTCCTGGGGGACAGGCCAGACCTCTGGACCCCCAGGCTTTCCTCTTCTCTGTGAAAACTCTTCCTTCTCACACCGTGCTGTCACTTGGCTGGACTACGGGATGGACTGCTGGGACAGATAACGCAGGTGAAGACACTTCACTACTACTAGCTATATACAACTGTGTGAAAAAGTGTTTGCCCCCTTCCTGATTTCTTATTTTTTTGCATGTTTGTCACACTTAAATGTTTCAGATCATCAAACAAATTTAAATGTTAGACAAAGATAAGTAACCACAAAATGCAGTTTTTAAATGAAGGTTTTTATTATTAAGGGGGGGGGGGAAATCCAAAACCCCCGCCCCCCCCCCCCCACCCCCCCCCCCCCCCTGTTAAAACATAAATTAACTGTGGTTTATCACATCTTTGGAAAGCTGAGTTCAATTTCTCTAGCCACACCCAGGCCTGATAAGAAATCAGGAAGGGGGCAAACGCTTTTTCACACAACTGTACTTCTTGCTATACTTTTGAACCTGAAGTAGCTATCGCTCTGGTTGTATGTACAAGATATTTATTGTTCTACCCCCCAATTGTTTTACTTGCATTACATATAGTGGTATATAATTTTATGCATTTTAGTTCTTTTATTTAAGGCCCTTTTGTTTCTGAGTCTGAGAGGACATGCTGCAGTTACTCTTCACTATTCCTCTTTGGTAAACTTTAAGGGTCTAAGTCTGTAAGTATTTCTGTAGTTAGCATGTCAAATGTATTATGCATTATATTATGATATATTCATTGTAAAATGTTAATTTTATACAAATTATTTTCTGTTTTAGTATGACATTTATGCAACCGGACGATGAGACTCCTGAGGTTATGTCGAGGTGCACAGAAGTCTGTGGGGACTCCGTTGGCTTTTATTGTGGAACTCGTAGATAATGTTTGATGGATGCTTGCATATTGATTTGTTTGGTTTGAATATGTCTCTAGGTTACAGCTGGAATATGGTGCGTGTGATGGAGGAGATATGTAGAGCCCTGAAGAATCCAGTCACCTTCCCAGTGCGTGCAGCTCTCCTGGCCCAGTCCTTCTCTCAGCTCTCATGGCTGCTCCAACAGTCGGACAGGTAATTAAACAACACAGTGAGGCCAGTCATTCACATCAGCAAACCTGGTAACCTGTATAACCGTATTTTGCATAGCAGGCACGCAAGTACTCTGGTATTCGTTTGTTTTTTTTCTTCCTTTTTTAAGTAATGGTTGAAAAATCTAGCCGAGCTAATCAAGAGACATGGAATGATTGTTTCGTCTCTTACCATTAAGCTCTCTACCAATAACCATCACGGTTCACCTCGTACAATAGCTTTCAATGTCAGACATATTTCACTGTGTGGACCTGGAGTTTGCTTCATAAATCAGAGTCAGCTTTATTGACCGTTAATGCGTATGCATACATGGAATATACAAATAAACAAAAAATATATATGACAACAAGTAGAACAGAGAAACTAAGCATAAACATTGAACATGTCTTCTTCTGCTTATTGGAGCTTGTTCAACAACTGACTGACGCATTACCGCCACCAGGTGGTGGGAAGCTATATTGTAACTGAGCGTCTCATGGATAACTGTAATATCTCTGGTGTCTTCATTAGATAACCTATATACGGTCTCGCGGCCCTCAGGTGCAAAACTGAGCAAACAGTTTTTGACCGTGCAATATTAAATGAAGATACATGTTATGATTTCTTTAGTCTATGGTTTAGAAAATAGATTATGACAGAGAAAGTGGTTGTGCTCTGTTAATGTTGGAAAAATGCCATTTATTGCACAAACAAAGTCAATCAGCAACCGTGGTGGCCTTTTTTTGATAGGCTACAGGTTCACTACACATAGTATTCAACAGCTTTTGTGAGAGGCATTGTATATTAATGTGCAACGTAATGAAGGTATTATGGCCTACACGGCACCTCATCTACAAGTGATGGTCTTTGTTCAGTAATGGTAGCTATCACTGCTCCTACCAGCAGCTGTGAACAGTAGACGACCTCGTGAACGAGTAATAATTTGTCTGACATATATGTTAACGTTGAGCTATTCATTGAATTCATTGAATGCTTATGCTCACCTATGTTCTGCACAGGTACACTCTAACGGTGTGGACGGGCCAGAATGATGAGTTCACACTACAGGACTTACTGCCCTACAAAGAAGAACTTGACATCCATAGGATCTACTATGACCTGCAGGACTCTGGAAGGACAGAGCTCAGTATGACATTGCAAGACAATAACTGATAGTCTGCCAGCACATACGGAGACGCTCTACGGCTGTAGTTTCTTGTATGCATTTCTGTTTCTCTGCACAAATGATGACTTTTCTCTCATGTATTAGTTTAACTTGTGAAATACTGTAGAGTTATACTGCTGGCCTCTAGAAACACTGAGAAGCAGAGTAATGTTTTGGTGAGCAGGAACAGAGATGCGGAGTCACATATTCATGGAAAAGAAATGGCAAACTGGTTTGTAATGTGTCGTGTATAAACATGTCTTGTTATGAATAGAACACAAAGGGTTGATCTTCTGAAATCATGACAGTCAGGATGATCCACAGACTCCGTTGTGAATAATTATGTGGAAAGTGATTATGATTGTTACCCACTAACAAAGAAGTGAAGGGACATACAATATGAGGGTAAGATTTTGTGACTGCAGAAAGTACATGTTCTAGATATGTTGCGCTTCCATCTCTGAGCTGTGTCTGACTGTCCAAAGTATTCACAGAGGAAGCTGGTGAACTGGATCTGCTGATAGACGCTTATGGCAGCTTTCTATTTAATAGATTTAGTTCCATTTTGATTTGAAAGACTACAACCAGAAGCAGCACCTGAGGGGAAAGCGTTGAAGTTAACTTGAAATCACCATGTTTGAATTTTTTTTCGAAAATGTCATCAATGAATAACAATGAATGTTTTTGTTTAGCATTTTAGTTTGACTTTTCTGTTTTATTCATGAGCACCAAGGTGAAATTTGCAAAGTTTTTTTTTTTAATGGCAGCTGAGACTTATTCCTGTACCTGATAGTAAAGTTATGTAAAATAACAGAAGATATATCTTTTTATCATTCCTTTCTTTACGAATTATGTACGGTATTAATCCTAATTTTAGGTGGTAAATAACTTTATTAGTAAAGCAAGTATCTGTAAAATGACATTAAAATATTGTATTTTTAATCATATAAACCTGTAATTTTACAAGCATTTTATATTTATTTTTCAGCCTCATTAAAATCACAAATACCTTTCATATAACAATAAATCTATTTAGAATAACAGTTTCTATTACTACAACTTTTTCTTCTTTTCAATAATAAAAACTATTTGAACAGTTTACCAATGCTAAAAGATATTATACACTCATAACAACCCATACTCAACATTGTTGTTCCATAATTATACAAAATATCAATTAACAATGAGTTCTATGTGAAATTACAGAAACAATACTTCTTTTACTATTAATTGTCACTTGTATCTATTTTAAAACATGTATTAAACATGAATCTAACAATTACATCTATTAAAAAAGTAAATATTTATGAAAGGATACATTTTCTTTTTATGTGAAAAAAACTTTAAGAAAATGGTATTTTTCAGTTTTTTCACAGTTACAGGTTTGTCATGTTATTTTACAAGAGAGGAAAAAGAGCAACATCCTTTACTTTGTTTCAACTCTCCCATACATGTACCTTACTCTCATGAGTGGTTTGATGTGATGTTCATCAGGAATTTATAAAGTAAACTTTATCAGCCCTAGAGGGTGGTAAACTCCTGTCAACAAGAAAAGGTCAAATTATTATTTATATCTTTCACTACCACATTATTATGCTGAATGACTGAAAACATACACTTTGGTTCTTCCAGCACACTTTATTTCTCATTGGCAGTCTAAGAAACAGGGTCAAATAGCCAATGATAGTGTGACAGCTACCAGAACAAGGTTCATTGATCAAGTTAATGAGTCACTATTGTTCTGATCTAATCCTATTTCTAAATTAGGATGATTGTGACTATTACATCAAGGTCAAATACATCTACACATGCCGAATGTCTCAGCCGAGTGTGTAGGTATAGTGGAGGGTGCCACCTTTCGTCAGGAAGCAGTCGTGGCTGTGTGTTCCCAGTTTGATCTGACGCTGGCAGACTCCCAGCAAGTCATCGAAGCCGAAGTCACTGTCATGAACCTCAAGCCTTAGCACGTCATTCTGCTGGGCCTTAAAATGGGTGAACTCCTCCTCCCACCAGGGGTTAGGGTTGTTGTTGCGAATAGACGTTTCACCCAGAGAGGCAGAGCCACAGAACACTTTGACATAGCCGTCTGTGTCTCCCAGGATGTTGGAGGGAAGATTGCTGGCCCGCAGGTTAAACAGCTTAAAGTGGGCATCAGCCAGAGTCAGACTGCACAGGACCAAAAGCAGGAGGGGACGACTGGAGGCCATGGCGTCACAGGAGGCTGTGGAGAACCAGACGCAGCATTTTAATAGAGGATATGGATTTACAGTCATTGCAATATGACTCAACCGTTCAGGTTAGTCTTATGACACACTCTTAGCTTATGATGCCTGTGACTGCACTATTTCACCCACTTAGACCTCTTCATGTCTGCTTTTGAAACAGTGGACCATTACATTCCAATTAGCTGTCAAAATGCTACGCTCACGTGCTGGGTGTAGGGCACCAAGTCCCGGAGGGGCACCATGCTGGCGCTAAAATTTTAATATAAATTACTGTATGGTCAATGCTGAAATGTGTGCATGGAGGAAACCAGGACCAGGAGGAAGATACTGACAATGAACTATCTACCAGTTCAGTTACACAAGATAAACACACAGAACCAGCAGGTCTGAAGAGAACACTACCAACACTCTCAAAAATGTCACCGTAAAATAACCTTCACTAACAAGGACCACGCCAATAACAGTATGACTTTTGAGAGGTTTATTGCATCCAGCATCACATCACAGAATCCCACATACATTTATAGCAATTCATTACAGTGACGGCCTGAGTCAGGGCTCCTGATATTACTCTCATTGTACGGTTCAGGATCTATTTTTTGTGTAACATTTATAATGACAATATATTTCTTTGGTTTAAAGGAGATGGCGCCTCCAAAAATGTTTGGGTGTGTGTATTTTTCCCTTTTTTGGGAGGTGGAGCACCCCCGGGCATTTACCTTTAGTTCACCCAAATGGCAGCAGCAGTCTTGAGAATGAAGTTGGCATTAAAAGCACAATCCTGGTCTGGTTGAAATTAATTAATTAACTGATTATTTACTTTTTCAGTCAATATGGGCAGTTTTGTATTCTACTTAGCTGGTACTCCCTGGAGGTCCCTGAAGGATCAGTTAGGCCCCACATTCCTTGCTTTCTCTTGGTCAAACCATTAAGGGTTGAATTTATTCGACTGTTACGCACGCTTTCATCAGACACAAGTTTATTAAAAGATATTTTGAGACTTGAGTTTTTTCAAATTAAAATTGGTACTTTCTACAATATCTGCACATGGAAACCACTGTATGTTTCATACAAGATTGTAGAACCAGTCCATAAAAAGGAGCGTTAATTGCAGGTCTGTGACAGGATGAAAACTCTGATCATGTCTGATCTCCGGGAGGTCAGACATGCTACATCTCTCCTACACGCCATTATTTTCTACATCACTACATGAGCATTAGTAATCAACATTAATTGTGAGTTGTGGAATACTTAGGGATACTGGGCTGCTCAAGGATATCAAGATTTGGTGGCTTGTAACTTGCAGTTTAACAATATTCAGTCTGAGATTTGAGCTCCTCCTGGACCATACAGTGTGACGAGTAATGTAACGATGAATAAAATGACCCCAGTATCACCCGTGTGATACAGCTTTGTGAAGCATTTGTGAGACAGAGCTTCTTGTTTGTATGAGGGGAGGGTTTGTTCACTTATTTGTGTGTGAGGTGAATCACTATTCTACGTGGTAGTTGTTTATCTTGTGAATAACATCTCCCGTTGTGTTTCGTCTGTTTGGCTAAGAATATTCTGTGAAACCTCCATTATTTTGAGCAGGCTCTAGTTGCCAAATCAATGTGACGATAAAGAGCTAATATAAATCACACATCTTATTGTTCAAATAGCCCACTACTGTCAGAATACAGCAGCTGTACAGTAGTTACTTTAGTCACTCCAGAGGTATTGAAGGGATCCCGGATTACAGGATGTCACATTGATACAGTAACTGTTCTTGGATTCAGTGGGACACTTCAAAACTCGCTTAAACACCTCAAATAATTCTAATAATGGACTAAAACATATGAAAATAAACCTATAAAAACAAAGAAATGTAATCAATATTCCAGTAAGAAGAAAGGAAACACTTTAGTTTTAATACAAAGTTAAAAATTTTTTTGAAAGCATTTAGTTTATTATAATACCTGGTTTTAGGCATTGCTGTAACAAACTCATCTAGACTACAAAGACGCTGCAAAGAGGATTGTGCAGCATGGAAAAGCCCAGAAGTGTTATCATTTTCAGAGGAAAAGAGTGTGAACATGTAGCCTGATAACAGCTGTATTTAAAGAGGAAAGTCCCTTTGGTTCAGTTCAACGGTGGACAAACCATCTGTTTCGTCATCAGAATCAGGCTTGAGTATTGAAACTAGACTTTTTGCAAGTGTGATCTTTTTAGTCTTTTTCTTTTTAAATGCAGACCTTCAGACTCCTGGTTGGTTGTCAGTGTTGGTCACAGTGGACTGAAGGATGAATCCCTTACACACTGTTGCATTTCATTTAGCACGTAATGGAAACTAATCAAGGGCAAAATAGGACATTTATTATTTAAAAAAAAGAAATAATAACTATGGTTGGACAAGAAACCAAAATTAAGATTTTATGAAATGTTGGGTACCACAAGTTCTCTTTAAAATAAGAATCGCCAAGTAGTCAAACCTAACGAAAAATGAAGGTTAAAATAGAGTATACATGTGACATAAAACAAGAATGAATTAATAATAATAATATATATATATATACGTATATATATATATATAAATATATATATATATATA